CAAAAAAAAAAAAAAAAGGTTGATACTGGTCAACCTTGAAAAGTAAAATTCTTAGAGTTCAGAAGCAGGAACCCCAGTAGTCAAGGTACTACACAGTTGCCATAAACAGAGAGGCTTTCTGGGGAATAGGTGATGGGGATGGATTTGGCACTGGGAGCAGAAGGAAAGTGCTCTGCAGTTCTACTCCAGCCCCGATCACATTTAGAGGAAAGGAGGGGCCTGTGAACAGGGAATCATACCAATCATCTGAAGCAGGCTGACAACTGAGGGTCTGAGCAGTGGAGAGATACTAGGTAGAGTGAGTTCCAAGGCTGGGAGCAACAGGGTCTTGAAATTTAGATGCCAGCTTCCATTCCTGTTTTGAATGAACAGGCAATTGAAACAAGTTGGTATCTTCTCACATTGAAAGGTACCAGCCAGGTGTGTCAGATGCACAACAGAGGAGGAATGAGACTTAACAGATGCCGTGGGAAGTCAGCTTTTAGACAGGAAATCCTATGCAAGTTATAAATCAGTACCACTCTTCCACTGGCTTTCTTTTCTTCATCCGACCCACTTTCCAGTCTAATTAAAGAATACTCTGGGCTGCCACTGCGTGCTCTACCTAATCGTCTTCCATGTAGTACACATTAATGATACATGGCCCAGATTTGTCCCTGAGACTGTGGGAACTAATACAATGCAGTATGTGGAATTACTGAACTTCAGACAACACTCTGCAGGCAAGCTGTCCTTCTTGCTTTAATTATGCCCTCGGGGTAGAGCCTTCTTTCCAATGCCTGGAAGGCTTATCACAGTGATTACTGGCCATCTTTTTTGGGGGGAGGGGGGCGGGATTTATTTGACTTGCATGTCCCAATCAGAGTTCATCATTGAGGGAACCCAAGGCAGCAACTGAAGGCAAGAATCTAGAGGCAGAAGCTGTAACAGGACTCTAGATGAGCACTACTTATAGGCTTCCTCCTCTGGCCTGTGCTTGGCCTGCTTTCTTTTTCTTTTTCTTTTTCTTTCCTTAAATAATTTATTGAGAATTTCATACAGGCATATAAGCATTTAAGGAGTTTTGATCAAATTCATGCCCACTCCCTCCCCTCCAACTCCTCCCATGATTTCTGGCTCTCTTAAAACCTTGGCCCTTGTCTAAGTTTGCTTAGGGAGGCAGAAGATGGAGTCCTGCTGGCCTGGGTGACTATGGAGCCTGTGTTCTTCACCAATGCAGTCTTCACTCCCAAATCACCTGGCCCACACTCTGCGTTCTTTCTCCCAAGGGGATGGACAATGAGAATCCTGAGAAAGAACTTCACCTAGCTTCTACAGGTATGCCAAGTGGTATGTCTCCAAGCAGGACTGCCTTTTCTGAACCAAAGAGAAATCTGTGACCTGACAAAGCACTTGATTTTTATTCTTATGTTGGTGAGATGGGGTCTTATGCTGATACGTTTTAAAAATTACCTTGAGCATAAGGCACATTGGGGCCATTTCAGACCTCCTGGGGTCTCCTGTGGTCAGAGGTGCAAGGAGGCATGAGATGGGTCTTGCTCCATGTGGGGGTCTCTGACAAATGTTGGTGAAAAGAGTCTTTGGTGTGGTCTGGGTCTTCTCTAGTACTATTTCTCCATATCAATTGTAGAAACAGGACCAGGGTCCTAGTTTTATCCTCCACCCCCATCTGTCTTCAGAAGAAGCCAGCCTGCAGGGCAGTGGAACAGGGAGGCTCCTTAATAATTTAAGTTCTGCATGCTTTGAAAGTCAGGAAGTGAAAAGGATGTGCATGGCCAATTGAAGCAGAATCTTAGGCAGGCAGAACTAATTTTTCCCATACTTGAACCAAAATGCCATTGCTAGTGCCCCTGGTCTGGGTGGGGAAAGGCAGAGAGACCTAGATCTTTGCATTTCAGCCAAAAAGAAGCATATATGGGGTGGCAGGGAGCTTGGACCTGGCTTCCTTATATGAAGCATCCCACGCACAAAAACTCACTATGGCTGCACTCTACAGTAGCTTGGGGTTTCACACTTAGCCGTGACCACTTATCCCAAGGCTTCCCACAGCACAGCACAGCACAGCACATGCCTGCCTCTTACTCAGTCCCCATGGCCATCAGAGTGGCCTTTTAACTGTTCAACTAATAGATATTTATTGAGCACCAGGTCTTCTTCCCTCAAGAACCTTACACCTTAGCTTCTGAAGATTTCCAAATCATATTAAGAGTTCATTTTACACTGAGTTGTATCCTCTAGTTATCTCTTCAGAAGAGTGCTTGGCTCAGAGTATGTCTTCTTTTTCATGGCCGTGACAAAGCAACTGAGATAATCAATATAAAAGGAGGAAAAACCAGGTATGGTGGTGCATGCCTTTAGTCCTAGCACACGGGAGGCAGGGGCAGGTAGATCTCTGTGAGATCAAGGTTAGCCTGGTCTACATGGCCAGCTCCAGGCCAGCTGGGGCTACAGGGAGACCGTATCTCAAAAAACCAAAAATAAACAAATAATTAAAATACTTTAAAAGGAGGAAAGATTTGGAATGTTTTTTACTTATCTTGTACTTTTTCTGTTTTTTTGTTGTTGTTTTGTGCTTTTCTTTTTTCTTTTTTCTTTTTTCTTTTTTTTGACTTATAATTTCAAATGTCTTTGGCATTTAGTGCCCATGGTGAGGCAGAGGATCATGGAGGAACACTACTTATTTCATGGAGGCCAGGAGCAAAAGAAAGAATGGAAGAGGCAAGGTCCCAGTATTCCCAGTATTCCCTATAAGGTCCCAGTATTCCCAATGACCTAACTTCCTTCTATGAGGGCTCTACCTCTTAAGGCTCCATCACCTCCTAGGAGCTCCACAGGCTGTTCACTAAACCTTTAGCATATGGGTGTGTGGATACAAACCACAACAGACAGATACTTAGATGGCCCCAGTCATAGTCGTTGTCATCGTCATCATCATCATCATCATCATCTCATTGCTACTTTGGCCTGGGATGATTTTCTGATTTAAAATTATCTATCAAGAGCCCATATTTCCAAACATTTGGCTATTTAGAATGTTTTTAATTGACAGTTGGAATTACATCAAACTAAAAACCCCCAACAAACTCTATCCTAAAGGAAACAGCCTACAGAATGGGAGGACAATGCCTGTCACTGATCACAACAGCTAAGATAGATGGCCAACCTAGGTGCTTACAACAGATAAATGGATAAAGAAATACGGTACCTATGTACAGGAAAGTATTATTAAACCATAGACAATAAAATTCTGTCATTTGCAGTAGTAGCAAGTAAAGAGTGGGCCTGTCTCTTGGCTTGAGAAGTCCTGAAGGTCCAAAGGGTATGCACCCCATATCCAAACCTGAACAATGCTCTTTGCCTTAACTGAGAGGACATGAGGGGGGTAGGGGTTCCCTGAAGTTGGTACAGGGTTGGGCAGGCTTGTGAGTACCTTGCCCTAGTTATTCAATCAATACTAAAAAGGTTTTATCATTATTATTTTCTAATCTAAAAACTCAAATATACATAAAGGCAGAAAAATAGTGTCCAGAATCTTATGTACCTATAGGGAAAATTTAACTTCATTTTTTTCCCCACTGAAGGTTTGATAACCTGTCTATGAAACAGAAATAGATAAGAAGATTAAAAATGAACAGACAGATTTTGTTATGTTCTTGAAAGAACTGGAGGGTGAGGCTCAAAGAGGGCAAAATGACTGAATCTCAGGTAGCGTTAACAAGGGGAGGGCGCTTGACTTCTAGGGGGAAGGAAAGGTCCAGGCTGTGGAAGGTTGGGGGATGATGTGCCCCGCAGCAGGGATCATCTGATACAGTCTCCTGGGTAACAGCCACCTGTGCTCATCTGTGTCTGAGCAGATGCCAGACTCCTAACCTCTTCTTATGGAAAGATCCTGGTGGTGGTGAAGTATCATAGAAAAGCCCATACCAACATCTGTTTGCTGATGTAGACAGATGTACTTTTTTTTTCTTTTAACCAAAGGACAGCTTTGCTGGGCATGGTAGTGCACACCTGTAAATCCCAGTCCTCCAGAGGCTGAGGCAGGAGGATCACGAGTTCCAGGCAACCCTGGAAACAAGACTTTGTCTCAAAAACAAAGCAAAAGAAAACAGTAACAAAAACCAGGACAACTTTTCAGAGTTTTCCTGTGTCTGCAGAGGGCTGCAGTTTCTCCGAGTAGTCAACTTGAAACATGTCAAAAACATCTATTTTGGGGGTGGGATATTTTACTCCCCCATATACCCTTCATACAAATTCAGCAATTATCAAAATGAAATCAGTTTTTTCTCAAATATTACTCTTTTGTCATTACTGTGTTCTGTGAGTGAGATGGGATAAATGTGGACCTTGCAAGGTTTCTTTTCCAAATGAAGGCTGAGATTGTCTCACCTCCTGATGTTGGAGTGGAAAGGAAAGAACATCCACCCAGGGTACTCAGGTTGGATTTGTCAGCGGTCTATATGCTCAGAATAGACCTATATCCTTTTTCTGGGGGTTGAGCTCTTGCTGAGAGCTTGAACTTCATCTTTGGAGAATGTGCCCACCCAATATTTAACTGTTATTCTGTGAACTTTGACTGACTTGTGAGGCATGTAATTCCGGGAGACAGTGAGATTCCAGTGGATAGGTGTAAGCATAGTGAGTACTTGGCTTTCCCTGTTGAGGGGAGGGGCAGATAATGGTAATACAGAGGCGGAGGTGAGCCATTATCCCAACTCAGGGGAACACAAGGCTGGAAGGATAGAACCTCAAAGCTTGGCAATTCCTGGAGCAGAACAATTCTTCTGTTCCCCAAATTCAATAATCTGCCTGAAGGCCCTGGGAACTATAAGGCAAGGTCCTGAGAAAAAGACATCATCTCTAAACCTCTTTTTCTCTATGGCTACCAGAATCCATGTACCGTTCCAATACTGTTTTATTCATTTTGGAGTTGTCTTGAGAGGGCAGGCAAGGAACAAAGTTCTCCCAGGTGTTGGGGGCAAGGATCTGCTTCTTGCTTGTGGAGTGTATGAATCAAGGCAGCTCTGAGCTGCTTTGGGGCAGGGGTAGGTGGGATGGATAGTTAAAGTGTATGCAGTTGGGTGCTGGAGAGACAGGAAGGGTCACACTTCAAAACATTCTCCTCTCAGAGCTGACCCTGACATCCACATAGCAGGCAGCGAGTTCAGGCAGGGTGTGCCTGCCCCAGAACAGTCTCCAGGCCCTGACCTTCAGCAGCCAATCTACCCCTCCTCTTTCTGCTTGGTCTTTTTCACTTTAAAGTTCTAGGCTGATTATCCCCTTCCATGCGTGCATGCATGGTGTGTGTGTGTGTGTGTGTGTGTGTGTGTGTGTGTGTGTGTTTAAATTTTTATTCTTGGCAGAAGTTAAGACACATAATGGATTTGGAAGCAGATGAAACCAGTCTGGGTATATGTTGGGCAGCAGGCAGCTTCATTCCTGGAGTGGGAGGGCCCAAGAGGGGGCAGGGCTGGGCTCTAATGTGGGGGTGGAAGTTGTCTCCTCCCTGCTGTGGGGACCTAGAAGGCCTGAGGCTGAAGGCTGAAGCTGTTAACCCTTTGGGTTGTCAAACACTGTTCTAGTGTGGCCAAAACTCTCTGGTCCTACCTGGGGTTAAGCAGATGTGGGACCCTCCAAATGGTCAATACCTGCTGCACTTCTTAGAGGTCCAGGAACCCCTGGAGTCTTCACTTCTGCCTTTGTTAAGGGCTTCTTAGGCTTTGATGTGCAAATGTTCGAGTTTGCTTTGAAAACTTCTTTCCTGCTAAGATCTTCCCAGGTGCCAAGGTGACCATGGCTCAGAGACCAGCTTCAGATCTCCTTCTTGACCCTGGAAGGTGCTTTTTGCAGTGATAGTATCTTCTTGGGTATTTGTTTCTAAGTGGTGAAGAGACAGCTAGGAATCTGAAGGTGTTTAAAATAATCTGGCAGAAACTAAGAAAGGCTTTTGAGGGGAATTTTTTTTCTTCCTTAAGCTGTATTAATATTCAACATGTAAGACAGGGATGATAGCTCAGTTTGTAAAGATTTGCCATGCAAGATCTTCAGAACCCAGCTGAAAATGCCAGGCCTGGTACTTACATGCTTGTAATCCCAGCTCTGGGGAGGCAGAGACAGAAAGATTCCTGGGATTTGCTGGCTATCCTGTCTAGGCTAATTGGTGAGCTCCAGGTTAAAGAGACACCCCATCTTAGAGGAGGTGATGATGTTTTGAGGATGACACCCATGGCTGCTGTGTCCTACACACACACACACACACACACACACAATTTACAGGATGAGAACATTTATTGTCTTAAAATTTTAAGAATTTCCTTAAA